ATAAAATAGTTATTGCTCAGACAAACTATAATTCTTATAGTCTTCAATTCTGTTTGGTTACAAAGCTATTGAATAGAAAATGAGACCTCTCCTGCCACATCCTCTGTTTAATAATTCGTTGATAGTTCTCTCTTACGTTTCATTATATATTACCTATAACCAATAGAAAGTCAAGGTTTTCATCTATTAAATGATGTATTGTATAATGTTGTGTTCTGAACAGAATATTGTCATTTTTACTCACAATACAAGATTCGTTTCCATGGGAAAGTTAATGACTAGCTTGGATAAATTTGTAACAGCTCTTGTCGCACAGTTAGAAAGCCAGAAAAATTTTGAGAGGTAAGGGAATTTGTCTACTTTTTGCATGTTATTAGTCTATATTATTTGGTGCATTATTTAATCAAATAAAAATTATTAAGTGTATTACTATAATTACTATAAAAAATTACGTTTAACTGTCCTCTACAATCGAGAGTAAGAAAAAAAAGATGATTGGGGAAGTACCTTATTTCTTGTTTTTCATATTTATTCTTTCTTTATTATTATAAAAGTAACTAAAATCTAAAAATATTTATCTTTTAAAGTTATTTAAGACTAAAGTAGCTCATGGGTAATGTAATTCGATAGTGTAATGTGAGCTGCACATTCCCTGAGTGATTTACAACTAAGAATGGCATGGATAGTAGTTAGACATGGTTCAAGGGGCAATGATACAATAAAATTTAATTATAAATAGAGGTATATTGTTACGAACTTAGAGCTACTTAGGATAAACGAATGTAGTTTCATATTACAATTTGAAGTCATTCTAGAAAGAAAAAAAAGGGTAATTTAGGTTTATTTCGATTCTTTTTTGGTGGCTACGAGGTCGGTCAAATTGACCAATCCCATTTTGAGATAGGCTAGAGAAAATAACAGATAAATTATAAAGTTTTACTGAAAAAGAACGTTTGAAATGCATTTAGGAAGTTCTAGGGATTACACAAAGGAAATTTGAGATTTTTGAGATAGGAAAAGTATTTTTAATTTTGACATGAAAATTACTTTGCACCTGGACTATTCAAAACAAATACT